GGTTTATCTATGTAATTAACCTATACCATTTCTATGTATGGGTAAATATCGTATCTATTAGTCGATGACCACAGTATTGGCGACTGGTAAATATCGCCGATGATACTGAGATGAACGCCGACGACCAATAAATATCGTATTTAATGATAGTTAATAATAAATACCATGATGTTACATGTAACTCAATGTTCCCAACATTTTTCAACAATCATAAAAATCATAAACAAAATTCAAAAAAAAAAATCATACATAAAAGTCATAGAAATCCACCAAATCAACAAAAATTACTTTGCAAAAAGTCCAACAACCAAAAAATACAAACACAGAGTTTGAGAAGAATCGGTAGAATCGTTGCCACTAAATTCCAAACTCATATATGAAAAATTAAAATCCAAACTCAATCTAATAATATCAATAACAAACCTAAACCAAACTCAAATTTAACAATATTAACATAGATTTCTAAACTCGGAGCTAGTAATATCTAAAAACCAATCACAAACTAAACTTAAATTGAAATTGGCGATGACAACAGTCAGCTGAAGAGCTCCCCAAACATAAAACCCTAGCCTACTGAAATCTAGGCCACTGCCGCACGGAGAAGGAGATCGTAAGCGTAGTTTTGATTTCTAATGAGAAAATCGCGTGCGCTATACTGAGTTCCAAAGAAGAGATCGCTTCAATCAAAACACTGTAACGCTTACTCTTCATGGGGCCCACCTTGCGGTACCTTCAGCACAGTCGGGTCTTATACTGTTACTCATACATATTGTCTCCTTTAGGCACTTAGCGGTCCTTAGGGATTTCTTCGCGTCTCCCAACACTTGAACCCAAGACCTCTCTCCTTATAAGGTTATTAAGTCAAGTGTTGGTACCAGTCTTCGCAAGGGAGGTAACCAAGACTCCGCGAGGGAGATAAAAATATAATAAGTTAAATCACGGTATCATTGGGAACCCTAACTTCCTCTCACTTCGTGGTCACTATGTGTGGGCATAGGTGAGCTAGCTGCTTAAACTTCTGTATTGCATCCACCGCAAACAGATTTTCCTAGCGGAAATTATTAAACTCATCCTCTTGTGCTACCATGTTGTCTAGTCGAAGTACTTTTCATTAAACTCCTCGATGAGATCTTGCCAGGTCATCACATTGATGTCCTTCTTTAGTTCCGCCATCTGCCACCACCATCAAGCCTCCTTCTTATGCATGTAAGAGGCACACAAGACTTTCTCTTGGTTGTTCAACCTCATAAGGTTTAGGACCACTTAAAACCTCGGTTAGCCACTTGTAGACTTCTATAAACACTATCTCTCAACTCGAAATGATGGCTCTAGATTGTGACGGACATCACAACGACAACGTTACATGGACGAATTACGAACATAAATTGTGAAGCTTTGCATGTCGGAAATCCATGTGCGCTAGCATAATGGAACTGCGAAAGGAATGTTGCTGGAGATTCTCTCACTCGACGGCTATCGTAGGTCGTTGGAATCCGCCACTGTCGTTAGTTGTGGCTGCGTCTGATTTAAGGAAGGAGAGAGAGAGAGAGAGAGAGAGAGAGAGAGAGTAGAGAGGCGGTAGAGAGAAGTGTTTGGGAAGGAAATCAAAGAAAGAAGAAAACCCTAGTGACTAAAATTGTAAAGGAATAATTTATTTTAAAATGAATAAGAGAGATATGCTATAATTTATGAACATATAAAAAATATGCTATTTACTTCAAAATGTTAGGTGAAAAATGATATTTAGTGTATTTTTTTCCTTGAAAGAAAGATTGAAGGCGTATAGCTTATCTTTTTGTCACCCAAAGTAAAAAAATTCATATAGCCTATCTTTTTGTCACCCATTTATCTTTGCGCATTTAATTACTCATGGTCCACCAAATTACAATCCATAATTTTTCCCCAACCGTGACTTTATTACGGGGATAAAGCCCATTCACGTCACGAAATAGAATGATGAGCTTAGGCCTTTAAAAAAGCATCATACCAAAATGGGTATCAACACCAATTAAAAAGAAATGTATAACTTTAAATGTTCCATAAATATTAGAAAATACTAGAGATGTCAATTGTGCTGGTCCGACCTATTATTTATTTTGACGTGTTGGGTCAGCTCATTTAATTTTTGTATCTTCAAGCTCGACCTTAACGTACTTTTACTGCTATTTACTTCAAATATTTTAAGGTATGTTATTTACTTAATTTAATTATAAAAATATGTTATTTACTATAATTTTTATAATCGTCCAAGGGTAATATTTACAATATCTTAAAATTTGGAAAGTAAAACTGAACACAAACTGTTATTCGAAAAAAAAAATAAGGAAAAATTTTTAGAAAAATTTTTTAATTCCAAGAAACTTTGCAAAATTAGCATAAACTTTTTTTTACCTTATTATAAAAATTTTCCATCGAGAAAGTGAGAAAAGGAGAGAGTAGTCAGTCAGAATTTCAGGAGCACCTCTGAACGTGTTGCTAAACTTTTGTTCCTAAATATTGGTTACAACGCTCATATCGTTGTGTACTTTTTAATGGTAGTGGTTGTGTTTGGTGGTGTGGTTTGTTAGGGTAGGTATGCTTTTGTTTGGAGGATGGAATTTGGACAGCTTGGAGGCGTTTGCTGGCACATTCCTTGTCTGATGGTTGTAGTCTTTCGGAGTTTTGTTTTAAACAGTAGTGAGCTTTTTTTAGAGATGATGGTGTTGAGTCCGAACGTTGACGGTGGTAGTACGTGCATTTCACATTCTACTTTTTGAAGGCATCTCGTTGGCTTCGCCACTTATCCCTTGAAACTTTAATTCTATCATAATGATCATCTTGTCGACTCTACTTTCAATGAGGACCTGCGACAATCATACTTTAGGTTTTAGTTGTCTATGTTTTAGTTTGATAAAGGCGTTGATATTTTCATCATATAGTTTTAGTAATTTTATCATAATAATAGAGGTAGTTCTCCCACCATTTTGTGTTTGTTTTTGGTTCACTAGATTTAGGTTTTGACAAGTTAGAAGTTTCGCTAGCTATTAAGGGTGAACAAATTAACCGATAACCGAGCAGCACCAACGGGGCCGATTGAAAACAACCGAAAAAAAATCGTTGGAGAAAGGCAACCGATGACTTCGGTAGGTGAAACCGAACTGTGAAGTGCCATTACAGGTGGTCGACGGTTTTGAGATCTTTTTATTTGTTGATGACCAAAAATTGAAGCCTCTTTTCTTGCCTGATGTTTTCTCCAGTGCCGCCCTAACACATCGACACTTCTCTTTGCCTCGAAACCTTACTGGCAAAAGAGAAGAAGGTAAGTGCTTCATTTTCTTTTTTCTTTTTTTTTTTTTCATATTACATAAGTGTAACGATGTGTTTCACTTCCACACACAACTCACCGTTTCACTAACTCATATATATTATTTATAATATATATATATATTATACGATACTAAGTAAATTAAAAAAAGAAAACCCTATTAACGAGTTTCATTTCTTCTCTGTCTTCTATACCCAGCCACCACAGCACCATTTTTTCTTCTTCTTCAACAAACCAGTCGTCAGATTCCATAGCTGCCGTCTAAGCAGCAGCAGCCTCGATGGTAACCGATTGAACTGAATTGAAAAATTTCAATCACCACTACCTTAGTTTTCACCATATGTCAGTTGGTTATCAATTTCTATATAATGCAAAATTAATTACCTCAGTCGACGATTTTCATCGACCGTTGTACACCCCTACTAGCTATAGTCTAGACAGATTTAGTAATGGTCTTAGAGCTGCACGTTACATGCTCTTAATGGATTGAAAGTTTTCATTAATTATAGCGGTTTCAAAAAGAACTTTGCTCAAATTAATGTGGAGAAATTTTCTTGAGATTGGGTCTCGTTTTAGATCATTTTTTTCTGTACTTCATTAAAATATGTTGACGAAACCGATTTTTATGTTATATTTTATGTTGTATATTATAAAGCCATCCGCATTATTATTAGTCTCCGTGAGACTTTTTAATTGAAATTTTTTACCTTCTAAAAAAATTCTAAAATAGAAAAGCTGACCCAACGGTCCAAACTAAGCGCGAACATTAATGTGGCGCGGAACCAGGACACGCAAAACATGACCAAGGGAGCCCCCCCTACGCGCGCCGGTCCACTCTTGCAATTACAGCAAATCAGTGGGGGCATTCTCGTTATTTTACCCCACAAAGGCCAACCTCGACATCTTACGCGCGCAAAATGCCTCCTTCCCTATTCCTTCCCTCTCATAAGAAAAAAGCATTAAAAAGTTATTAAAAAAAAGCAAGACTAAAAATAAATGGAAAACGAAAGCTCTATTTTACTTTTCTATTTATTATATCTTTTCACAAAGAAATAATTTAATGCTAATTAATGAATGAGTAATATACTTGAATTTCCTTTTTTTTTAATGAAAATACAAAAATTACAGAAATTATTAACTATAATATTTTTTGAAAATATAGAGACCCGTTTAAAATGTATATTAAAATTATGATATTTAATTTTGACTTTTGGTTGAGGGATTCGTACTCCGATTCGAATTATGGTTCGTGATTTGTTACAGTATTTTTTCTTATAAAAAAATACACGTAAATTAAAAATAATTATAATCTCATGATTCTAATCCATGAACCAAACGTGTAATAAAATTAATATTTTGAGTTTACATAAGATTGTTAATTTATTTAAATATATAAAATAAAGGAGTCTTAAATAAAATTAACTTTTAACAATCACAATCCTAATAACACAACATTTTTGGTAAAAGAAATATTCTTCAAAAAACTTTTTTCTTTTTTTTTAAATTAAAATTTTATTTTTTTAATAAATAAAAAATAAAATACTCGTATAATAGTCTCTCCGTCGTCTTCGGCTTCCTGTCTGTACCTTCTCCAACCCATGAAAAGTAGAAAAACTGATGAACAAATAAATTAAAATAATATTATAAAAAAATGGAAATCCAAATCAAAATGGAAAATGAACCCTAACTACCTCTCTCTCTCTCTCGCTCTCTTCTTTCTCTCTCATCAGTCTTTTACTCTTACTCTCACTCTCACTCACTGAGAACCGCCATTTTCATCCACCACCAGAGCTCTCTTTCATCTTCTTATTCTTCTTCTTCTTCTTCTTCTTCGGAGGCACACCAAATGTGAGCCGTTGGATCTCGGTTCTGATCAAATCACAGCCGTTCGGTCCGCATTACATTCTACGATCACAGCCATTGACTGACCAAGCTCCATGTGAATCTGCTTTAGCTTCCCTTCCACGCTTCCTTTACTGGATCTCTCTCCCCCTAAGTAAAAATACTTTCTCTCTCTAGGTTTTCCTTTGGTTCGATCTTCTTTACTTGGCCGATTATTCCTTGCTTGGATCGCTGTCAAAAGCTTTTGCTTTTTTCCTTTTTTTTTTTCCTTCAAAATAATAAATAACTGTTTTTTCTATTATAGTATTTTGGATTTTTCGGATTGCGATTTTTTTTCAGATTTGTTTCACACGCCTTTTACCAAATATGACTTGGTTGTTTGTCATTGAAGTTTTTTTTTTTAAATTTTTTTTTAAATAAATGATTCTTTGTGTTGTTCAAGCTATTCTGTTTTGATCAAAGTTGCTTTTTCTAACTTCACTACTTACGCGCTCTTTCACTAATCAAAATTTCATGTCTTCCTTTTGTTCTTCAGCTTCCTGATCTTCTAAAGAAGTAAGCAAGTATTTTTCTTTTTATTTATTTTTCTTAGTATTTTTAATATATATTATATGGGTATTGTAGTTCTGGTAGTTATAAAGATTTATAATAATTGCTTATGGAATCTGAAAGAGAAGAGAAGTTTCAATATTTTTGTAAACTGTTGTTTTCAGTTCTTCAGCACTCCGTTATGTGGATTTTTTTTTTCTGGGAAATTTTCTTTCCTTTTTTTTTTGTTTATTATTATTTCCCTTTCAATATACAACATCTAATACAAACTGTTTTTATTATTTATTTATATTTATTATTATTATTTTTTTGAAGCAGATCTTGTGGACTACTGAAGTTCAAAGGATCAGACTTGAATCAGTAAAAAATGAGAGCTCTGGAGTTTGGGTTTTCAGTTCTGGTTTCGTTGGCTCTTCTGGTTGTTCTAGCAAAAGCAGAAGTTTACATAGTGACCATTGAAGGAGAGCCAATTATTAGTTACAAAGGGGATATTGATGGTTTTGAAGCCACTGCTGTGGAATCTGATGAAAAAATTGACACTTCAAGGTATTTGCAATTTCCCTTCTCCTATCAATCAAATAATTAAAAGTATATATTTTTCTTTTTATTTTTTTTTATTTTTTATTAGTGCTAAAAACATACGTACATAATATATACATATATGGACGTACATAATAGATACATATATGGACGAGTTTTCAATGGTCACGATTCCATCAGTGCATATATATATATATATATATGTATACATCATTTTCAAACAATGCTGGCCAGCCTCAAGTTGTCTTGGCCGTTTCTCATAGTGTCGACGGAGTTTGCCCATTTGGTTAGACTTGTTCTATTTCTTAGTAGGGTCAAGATTCTCAAGAAGAGTGGACTCTTTTGCTCACTTTTCTATTCTTATTTTTTAATTTTTGCCGAAATTGTGATAATGACATGATAAAAAATGACTTGGGGTTTTGGCGTTTGTTTGAAAGAGCTAAACAGTTTTTTGGCTCTTGTTGATGATTCTTGCCGACTATGATAGTAGAAGTAGGAGAAAAGTCCATTCTCTTTGGGTCATTTTAGTCATACTGTGAAAGTTTACTTGATCTGTAGGTCTCTACTTATGTTTACAACAGTGTATAGACTTAGATGGGCCATCACTTGAAAGAACTGAAGCCATAGGTAAAATTACTTGCAAGAGATTAGATTATGACTATGAAAATATGAAATGACAAACTAAAAGGTCAATATCGTGACTGTAAATTGGCCGCTTTGGCGCTATCTTTTTCGGCGTTCTCAATTCATTGTTGCTTGTATTATTTTTATTTTTTGCCCCTACATTATTGATTGTAGTCAGCGACATTTTTGAACATGGAAGTAGCGTACTTGATGTATAGAAAAAAGGAAATTTTGATTTCCATGGAATGAGTAAATAGTCCAGTTCATAATAAGAAAAACTTTGTTTCTACGTTTTTATGTGCTTTTCTTGTTATTGCCATCCTGGAAAAATAAATGTTGATATTCATGTAAGTGTGTAAACAGTTAACAAGCAACTCCATTTCTACATTTTATATTGATTTCTGCTGTTTTTATTTGCTTCTCTAATTATTGATCGGGTTGCTTTCTCCTTTTATAGTAACTATCATTATATCAGAAAAAGTTGCACATTGAAACCACCTCAGACTCGCTGATGCATTTCTCTCATCCCAAGTAGATGTGACGTTAATATATATATACGTTTTATCCTGGATTAAGATTTGGATTTCAACAAATAATATTTTGATTTCGAGATATAGAGTTTGACAACTAATATTTTACTTTGAGCCTTTCCTTCGCATATTTGGCTTCATTCAGCGACTTGGTCACCTCATATGCTCATCATCTTGAGATGAAACACGATATGCTTCTTGGCTTGCTCTTTGAGCGTGGGACCTACGAAAAGATCTATAGCTATCGACATCTTATAAATGGCTTTTCCGTTCATATTTCCCCTGAACAGGTGCAAGTTTGGATGCCTCTCTAACTGTTACAATTTTCTTTGTTGTTTTGACATTCATTTCTTCTCTTGCATTCTCATTCCCTTGCTTGATCCCCTTATATTGTAGGCAGAAACCTTAAGACATGCTCCGGGTGTGAAATCTGTGGAGAGAGACTGGAAGGTGCGGAGACTTACGACACACACCCCACAGTTTTTGGGGCTTCCAACTGGAGTGTGGCCAACAGGAGGCGGCTTTGACAGGGCTGGAGAGGATATTGTGATAGGATTCGTGGACTCTGGGATATACCCACACCATCCAAGCTTTGCTGCACACAATACTGAACCATATGGACCTGTTCCAAAATACAGAGGAAAATGTGAAATTAATCCAGATACTAAGAAGAGCTTTTGCAATGGGAAAATAATTGGTGCCCAACATTTTGCCAAAGCTGCTAGAGCATCCGGCTCATTTAATCCAGCGATTGATTTTGCATCTCCTTTTGATGGTGATGGACATGGAAGGTTCGATTCCATACTTCCATGTTAATTCCATGCTTCAGTAAATTGCATTGAATATTTGCATGATGTAATACACGTAGAGAACTCTTGCAGAGACAGAAACAAATTCAATACGCCCCTATCATACACAGATGAATATGATAAAAGCCTTTGGTGTTTGAGAATCCAAGTAGTAAGCTTAATGGCAGCTATAATACCCAGTAACTTGCATGATTAGTGTTTACTTAGTATAGTTTTTGATAGGAATATAGTGCAAGTGCCAATCTCATTGTTCAATCTTGGTAACTATGCTTGGATGATTATTGTTATATTACAGTTTTGAATAGAATTTAATTCAATGTAAGTGTAGTGTCATAGTTCTTAAAATCATATGTATCTATGATAATGTAACCACAAGGAGTTGATTGCTAGGGCCAATTATGCTCTCACAATATCTTTGGTTTAATTCCTTATGGCAGTGCACTTGGTGAATAACCACAAGTTTCTTGCTTCTCAGAGTTTGTAGGTTTGGCAGGGGCTTCATTTGAAATCCAAGCTCAAGGGGAACGTATAGGAAATTGAAAAAGAAAAAAATATTAGAACTTGTACCATATTTAGAATTTAAACATAGATTTATTTATTTAATTTTTTTTTGGAGGGAGTAGAATTTTCTTCTTCTTACTGTTTCTAGTGCTCTCTCCCAATCGTGGTTGGAGTTTTTGTATCGGAGGCTATATCCATCATCCTCACATCTTTTGTTTTTTTATATATTATACCTTTTGGATACCAGTCATACAGCGGCTATTGCAGCTGGAAATAATGGGATTCCTGTCCGAATGCATGGTCATGAATTTGGAAAGGCGAGTGGGATGGCTCCACGTGCCAGGTTAGGAGTATTAACCTTCACTTAATGCTGGAATCGTTCATTTTTAAGTTTTCATTTTTGTTTTATAAGAGTGTTTTTAATTGTTTATGTTCAGGATTGCGGTGTATAAAGCACTTTATAGGCTCTTTGGAGGGTTTGTTGCAGATGTAGTAGCTGCAATTGATCAGGTATGTATGAATGCAAGAAAATAAACGAACTTTAGTATGTTGTCTCTTCCGCCACTGTGTGCTTGCTCTTTGTACATACACTTTTGTTTTATGTGAACAGATATAACCTATAGCCTGTAAATATTGCTCCTCCATGGTCCCATAATGATTATCTTTGTTGTCCCATGTAAATGTATGCAATAAATTATTATTTGGATCTTTCATTTTTTTCTCTTATTTTATTGACGTAAAAAAGAACATCTTCATGCGTGTTCTATATTCGACTCCCAAAAGAAGAAAAGGTTGACGAGTTTGTACTTGATACAACTTTTAGTTATTTTATGGTATAAAGCAGTAAATATGAAAACGCAAATTTGGTTGCTTGCACAAGTGCCTCATCTATTTGATGAAGATAATTTAACAGAAGCTTCTAGGTCTTTCCTGTGAGTGGTTATTACTTGGAAAAATGATCCTTAACTGAGAGAGTCTTATGGGCAGGCTGTATATGATGGAGTGGATATACTCAGCCTCTCTGTTGGGCCAAACAGTCCTCCAGCGACCACCAAGACAACTTTTCTGAATCCTTTTGATGCTACACTTCTTGCAGCCGTGAAGGCGGGTGTATTTGTTGCACAAGCAGCTGGCAATGGAGGTCCTTTCCAAAAAACTTTGGTTTCTTATAGCCCTTGGATAGCATCTGTAGCTGCTGCCGTTGATGACCGCAGATACAAAAACCATCTGACCCTTGGAAATGGAAAAATTTTAGCTGGACTTGGGCTGTCCCGTAAGTCTCTTAAAGCTTGAACATTTTTACTTAATTTGTCAAAAGTTGCGGAGAAGCATCTCGACATGAAAACTGTTGATTTTTATAAACACTGTTTCTCAATTTATGTATATGTATATACATATATATATATATATATATATATATAGATTATAACAAAGGCTTGATTGGAGACCATAATTACATACACATAAATACATAGTGTTTGTTCATATTGAGAGATTAGAATGAAAATTTTGTTCTGTTGGTTGTACAATCATTTTTTCTTTTCCTTTGGTTTAGCAGTTCAAGGATTTTTTCTTTTTGGTTCGTTTACCACTCTTGGATGCTGTCTCTGTTTCAAGTTCCAAACTTTTGCTTTAATAGACCCATGTGAATACACAAAATTCATTTACCACATTGGTCATTTTAATGAGATGGTTACCGTGGTTACTTTACCAGATTTGTTCCATCGTCCTGAAGTAACCTATGACAGTTGGTTCTCTAATGCTAGATGGATACATTTACTGTTACAAGTGTGGCCTCATATATATGTGTGTCTTTTATACTGTTGTTCCCACTACCTTTTTCAGCCTCGACGCATTTAAATCAAACATATACCTTGGTTTCCGCAAATGATGTCCTGCTCGATTCTTCAATAACGAAGTATAGCCCCTCGGACTGTCAGAGACCAGAACTTCTAAACAAGCACTTGGTTGAGGGGAACATTCTTCTTTGTGGCTATTCCTTCAATTTTGTTTCTGGTTCGGCATCAATAAAGAAAGTTTCAGAAACAACAAAGGCTCTTGGTGCTGCCGGCTTTGTTCTCTGTGTGGAAAATGTTTCTCCGGGAACAAAGTTTGACCCTGTTCCCGTTGGCGTTCCTGGGATTGTGATCACAGATGTCAGCAAGTCACAGGTATCTCTCTTGACCTCTTTCCTCCAATAAAGTGGTGTCAGAATACTAGATCCAGTATATTCTCCACTTGTTTATTTAATATAAGTCGGCATCTAGCTTAGATGCTAAGGCCAAATACTATCCTATCTTCTGATGTCAAAGCAGGATGTAAAGTAAAAACTATTACGTGTTTCTAGTCCTGGTCCATCTTGAATTGATTTTTGGCATCTCCTGAGCCTTCTTTCTTATAACTGCTTTGTAGCTTAGTACTTTTTCCTTGTGTGTAGTAATTTGCACGTAGATGTTCTCCTCTATCTTCTCCTTACATTTTTGTGCCTTCCCACCAGTCTTATGTTATAATTTTGGTGCTTTGCATCCATTTGTTTAGGATCTCATAGATTATTATAACGTCTCTACACCAAGAGATTGGACTGGAAGGGTGAAGAGTTTCCAAGCTAAAGGCAGCATTGGGGATGGTTTGATGCCGATACTCCATAAATCAGCACCGCAGGTGGCAATATTCTCTGCTCGAGGGCCAAACATCAAGGATTTCAGCTTCCAAGATGCTGATCTTCTCAAACCTGATATTCTAGCTCCGGGTTCTCTGATTTGGGCTGCTTGGTCTCCAAATGGAACGGATGAACCTAATTACGTTGGTAAAACAGATATCCTAGAAACTTTTCTAGTATTGTCAATTTTCCCATCTTCACGGCTAACATACTGAGTAGGCTGGCCTACTGTAAAAAGAAGCTAAAAAGAAACTTGAAATGAAAAGAGAGTAATAGGCAGGGAATTTAGTCTTTCTATGTCATTATTTGTGTCAAGCAACTGTTCGACATTTTTCTTTTCGGAAGAATACAACTCAAAATATGCTAGTATGTGCTTTTTAACAGGGGAGGGGTTTGCCATGATATCTGGCACTAGCATGGCCGCGCCGCATATCGCAGGGATAGCTGCTCTAATAAAGAAGAAGCATCCCACCTGGAGCCCTGCTGCCATCAAATCAGCCTTGATGACAACATCAACCACGATAGATAGAGCAGGAAGACCTATTCAAGCACAACAGTACTCTGAAACCGAAGCAATGAAGCTGGTCTCTGCAACACCTTTTGATTATGGAAGTGGCCATGTCAATCCACGAGCTGCGCTAGACCCTGGACTCATTTTTGATGCAGGTGTATTTTCGTGTGCTCCTTTCATAAACTTTTTCTATTAGGAGAAGTGCAAAACTACCATTTTATATTGGTCCTCTTTCTATTATTGACCTCTTAATTATAACTGTCCTTTTATCAGAATAGATCAACTTAAACAAATAAAAAATAAGAGGGGTAATACTGAATACTGGGGGGCAATATTGATTGCACACTAATTTTTGAGGGTCAATTTTGGAAAAATTTCTTTTATTTTAATTTTATTATTTTCTATTAATTGAAAGATTTCCTGTTGGCTTTAAGCATCAATCAACTTAGACCGGGGGATTTAACATTGTGCGAGGGAGAAAGAAAAAGTAAAACTGCTTTTGTGGCCTCATATAAATTTAGCATATAAATGTTGGTTCGACGTGGGGCCTAGCTGTTTACTTGCGTCGTATTATTGTCTCAACTTAGCTGTTAGCAACTTAGGCTCGCAAGGGATATTAACGTGAAACACAAGGGGAGCTGAACTATACATCAGTTTTCGTTTGTATGTCAATGAACTCTTTGTAGCTTGTTTCTTGGAACACAAGTTTCCTCAGGAGCTAGTATTTTACTCTGCAGTTGTGTTGATTCTAAACGATTTGTCTGGTATTTGGTTCTTTAGGTTATGAAGATTACTTGGGGTTCTTGTGCACGACACCCGGTATTGATGTGCACGAGATAAAGAACTACACAACCTCGCCCTGCAACTACAGCATTGGCCATCCGTGGAATCTCAACACCCCATCAATCACCATCGCTCATCTTGTGGGAACAAAAACTGTCATCCGAACAGTCACAAACGTGGCCGAGGAAGAAACCTATGTGATCAAAACCAGAATGGCTCCGGCAATTGCAATTGAAGCCAACCCTCCCGCAATGACTCTGAGACCGGGTTCGTCAAGGAAATTCACGGTAACTCTCACGGTTCGATCCGTGACCGGAACCTACAGTTTTGGTGAGGTTTTAATGAAGGGCAGTAGGGGTCACCAGGTAAGGATCCCAGTTGTAGCTATGGGATACCAACGGTAGTCTGGGCCTGTAACTTAAATCTTAAGGGTTTTGTGGTTGATATATTCTTTATATTCTGTGGGAATAAGATAATTGGCTAGATGTATTTGTCTGAAATATATGTAATCTGTAAAGATGACTTTTATAAGGGGGAGACGCCTAGTTTCTTCCACTTGAGTTTTGCTAATTTGTTCGGTAGTTTTGGCATACTCATTCATAATGAAGTTCTTGTTTGTCATTTCGTTTGTTTTCCTTTCTTTTCAACCCTCAGGAAAGAACAAAGAATACTTATTATGTGAGCACGTTGTAGATACCATAAATGAATGGATAATAATAACAATTTTTGGTATGTTTAATCAAAATTCAAGAGTTCATTTGAGTTCTGGAAATATGTGGAGATTGGCGCACAAATTTATTGTGTTTTAAAATTTTTCGAAGTGCCTGAAAAATTTGAAAGTACATGGAGAATTTGTTGTTTGTATGATTGCATAAACACGAGGTCATTTCAGTATTTTGAAAGTCACAAAGTGAATTCCTATATTTTGATTAGACACATTGAAAATTTTTGTCATTATTATTATTGTAAAGAATTGTCAAAGTGCCAAAGCATATGAAACTGAGCAAGAAATATGTCAGATTTGAATGTCATCACAAGCAGCGAATTTGATAGCTTAAAACAGAGAACAAACCAATGTGCAATAACCCATGGCATGGGGTACATATAATGTTGTGCACAACCAATTTGTTATGAATAAGCGTGTCATTCTCTTTTTTACTTTTGTAAATTTAACACGTGGACTATAATATGACATTTTCTATTTAAATAATAATATATTATATTAGTTGATTCTAAATGTAGTGAATGGAGAAAGTGATAAAAAAAAAGGTATCATAAACAGAATTCATAAGCTATTTAAGCTATTTTTAGAACCACCGAGTGGAGTGGCCTAATGATATTGATCTAATGTGCCAGGTCTATGGTCAGGTTTATTAAGTATTGAGTGGTCTTTTTTGAGGTCTTAAATATAAAAAAAATTCTCTAGTTTGGCTTTTACGATGGCATTTTAGCGCATCCACCGAAAAAGGGTCATCAAAGAGAGATTCATTTTCTTACTTCAAAAAAAAAAAGAAAGAGAGATTCATTTTTTTTTGAGAGCCTTTATGGTGAGATCCTTTAAAAAAAAAATTTATCGGCGTTACACTTTGTTTCAATCGTTGAATTAAGATTTTAATGCTCAGATCTGTACAAATTCGTATAAAAATTTACAGCGCGTTACACAGAATTACTCCATCTGCAGATCTAACCGGTCGAAACATGATGTTACACTAGTAAAAATTTTTAGAGGTCTCACCATAGAGAGAGCTCTTTCTTTTCCTCGTTTTCATTCACAGTTATAATTTTTTTTCAATTTTAAATAATTAACGACTATAAATAACATTTAAATATTAATTCTTGAGAATGTTTATATTCTCCCTCAGCAGTCAGCACCTTGCTTGTTGCACAACGAGAAACTTCTTAGCTGGAAAGCCTCAACTGTTGCCACCTTAAACAACTCGGGCTGGGCTAGTTTATCTGAGAATCGGCTACATCGTCCCAGGCTCCCAGGTTTCCTCTCCTTTTCTTCCCTATATTCTCTCTTTCCTTGCTCTTTTGTTGTAAAGTATACAGAAAAAACGTTGAAGAAAAATGAATGAAGAAAACTAAATGTTAGTTGATTTTGGGTTTTTCATTGCATCCATTTCAAACCCATCTGTTCTGACATTCCAACTTTCCTGCTCTCTTCTTATTTTCTTTGTTTCTCAGCTGCCAAACATTGACACCTTGTTAACGTGTCTTTCTGTGTTTTCCAAATGCTCGTTCGAGAATTCCTAAGAAATGGTTCTTGGGTAATTATTAATACCCATTTGAGGCTTACAGGGAAGGATTATTATTAATTATCATAACTGTGGAATCATTTTATACCCAGCAGATTATCACAGAGCATTGAACCTGTTTGACAAAATGTCTGAGAGAAAACTGTTGCTTGGTTTATTGTGTTTTAGCAGTTTCTTAGTACTATTTTCGACTTTAATTGTTTTTCACGTATGAATTTTTCATGCAGGATTCTGGAAAGTGTGTTTTGTGGATAACTATAAGAGAAGATGGGAGAGCAAACGTTTTATGAGAGAATGATTAGTCATCTCCGTGGAACTTGCAAGTATGTGCATCATCCATTTATGCTTATACTCTAGCTATATTTATGATTTTATATCCTGCATTTTGTGCTACAACAACAACAACAACAACAACAACAACAACAACAACAAGCCTTAATCTCAACTTAATTGGGGTCGGCTATATGGATTTCACTTTTCCACGCATCCTGCATTTTGAGTCTATCAAAGTATTAATCCTGTATTTTGGAATTTGGATGTTCTCGAAATCGCACCTCTGAATCTCAAGTTCATGTCAAATTTGTGCATTTTCTAGGTCAACAAATGATTTTTGGCCTTTGAATTGATGAACTTACCCTTTCTAGGTTATAGGTTTACCTGTAATGAAACACTAATTGATGAATTTACCCTTTGCAACTTAGCTTCAAAATATAATTTTTGTGATTTTTTCTCCGTTTGTTTAAACCATATGCCTGATGGGCGTTTTTGGTTACAAGATCATCTATAAGCTGCAAGGTTAAGTTTATCAATTCAATGGTAAAAAACGATTGACCTTGAAATCATACAAATTTGACGTGAAATTATTCAAAGATACAATATTGAGAACATCCAAAGTACATGGTTATATTTTTGATAAACTAAAAAATCGAGGTATAAAATAGAAAATAACCTAAAAATCTCTAGCATTTTCCGTTAATCGGTATGCGAGGAAAGCCATTTGTGTTAACAGTATATGTATTTGCATAGTCTTCTCTTGTGAATAAAGAAGCCTTTACAATATAAGTTTAAACCCTTGCTTCTGTTCCTATGTTAATGCAGTTGAGGTTAAGTTTGGGTGTGTAGGATGCAATGCTTTGAGATTTGTTATTTAAACAAAGGCTATTTTCGTTATTGGTTTCTAAGGACATGCACATGCCCTTGTCTCACTTTGGTTCTTGACATTTACTTTTAGATGTCTAGCTATCTTGAGATTTCTAAAATATAATAACTTTTGCCCTCTGTTAATAAACTGTGTATTTTGAAACAAAATTTAACACGGGGATGACACGTGAGGGTTTTAAAAGATATAACATGGTTTAAAAAAAACAAGTAGATTGGGAGAATCTAAAAGGAAAAAGGAAAACCAAATATGTTGGACATAAAAAACCAAATTGGGCATGCAGTCCTAAAATGGATTTCAAATTGTGCACGCAGTCCTAATATGGATTTTTTTTTTTCAAAAATAATTTTTTTAGATCTTGTTTTTATTTACCATTTTATCCCTCTTAAAGCTCTAACGTGCCATCCGCATGCTATATTTTGTCTCAGAATAGACAGTTTACTAAAAGAGGGGCCATAACTATATGTTTTAGATACATAGTTAGATCTCTAAAAGTGAATGTTGAGGGCCAAAGTGAGACAAGTGCATATACTCAAGGGTTATTGGTGAAAATAATGCTTTAAACAAATAAGGAAGTGTGTGTGTGTGTTGTCTTGTTTTCTTTCTGCTGACTTAGATTGCTAAGTGTAATAGTTGGGTTGATATGATGACATGAATGTGGTTCTCAGATGCAGACTTTACATATTCTTCTGTTACAGTCTTATTTAACCCTAGTTAATATTGATTTTGCAATGTTACCTATCTACCGTAGCTCTTCACACTTAACGAAATTCTCTATGATTTAAGGTATTATACTGGTTATCCAAAGGATCTTGGGCCATCCCAGGTTATTAATTTCACATCAGAACGTGACTTTGTCCGTCTTCTTCATGAAGGCTATCCAGTGGTTGTTGCTTTTACAATAAGGTGAATTGAAGTTCGGCATGATCCTTTCTCCGTTCTTAAGATGTAAATTGCTTTTGCGAGGTCGGACTACTAAGTCCTCAATCCACATAGTGCAGGTGTAGTCTCACCAAACATCTGGACAAAGTACTGGAGGAAGCTGCATCAGAGTTCTATCCACATGTAAAATTCATACGTGTAAGTTTTGTTTTTGAATTATGTCTTCATCAGGACTCTTGCAAACCTGAACTACATTCTTATTATTGTACGGCATTTATTGCACCATTATTAATGTCACGATATCTACACCATGTGATCCTGGAAGCGTCTAAAAAGTTTATATTAAGTGCATGCATCCAATGAATTTGTTTTGGGGTGGGATAGTTTTTTCAGAGCCTCCACTTATATATTTAAGGGTCTTTTATGCTTTTTCAGGTTGAATGTCCAAAATATCCCGGTTTCTGTATTTCACGACAAAAAACGGAGTATCCATTCATTGAAATATTTCATAGTCCGCAGCAAGTAAGAATGAACTTTTTCCTATTTCTCCTCAGCACTGTGCCTTATTAGTCCTATTGGCTGCCTGGGTCGGATGAAAAGTTGTGTTAGTAATTGAAAAGACTGGCACGTTTGTCTATGATGCGACCTTTCTTCTTGCACTTAGGAAATAAGAATCCATATATTACTGATATACAATCTGTAGTTTTCTGGTTGTGGTGGCACAAGTATTACCTCAATCTTTTGTCTGTCGTTATTGATAGTGAACTTAGAGCACTATGCCTTTATGGTCTGTCACCTTCGTTCATTAAAACCTCTTTACTACTAGGACGAGAGAGAACATGATTCTGTCAGCCAAAAAATAGAAGGCGAGTGTTTCTCTCTCCACATTATCCATTTTTTTTCACTCCCCCTTCTCTTATCACACCCTCTCATCAACCACGTAGACCAATTTAAGTTCCGGCCATGATATTCAAAGGGGAAACTCAAGACAATTCAAGTGTGGACCAGTATTGATTCCATCAGTTGTAATTCTCTCGTTCTCGTTGTAAAGTGGCTTCAAGAAACGATATGAAAGATGTCCTTTGATAAAGAGTGATAAGGATAGAAAGTGAGGGCCAAAATATTTCCTAAAGTTTTGCATTGAGCATTTGAAACAAGTCTAAAAAGTCACGAGATTACGAACCGAAACTTCTGTAGTGTACGTTGTGGCCAACTGCATTATATGGCTCTTGAGTATTCTTTTGTACTGATAAGAACAGAGTATTTTCTTCAACAAGAATGAATCAAGAAGAGTAAAATGTAATCTTTATTGAATATCGGAAAAGAATTACAACAGCAATCGACCTAGGAACTGCAATACCTCCCTTGCTCAGCCTCAGCCAAGACTTCCTGTACAAGACTCCAGTAATTTCCTACCTCTCTATTTCCAGCTTATTCCCTATTTATTCTAATCCAATAATCCCTTGTACAACCCCCCATCTTAGCCGACTATACAACACTCAGCCCTATACAACTCTCAGCTTCCTTACTACTTACCAACTAACCACTAACTCAACCCTGCAACCTCTTATTCCCTCTTGCCTTTCCTAACATAAACCTGCTTCAGCAAATGCTTATCAATTACTCCGCCCCCCAAAAGAGTCACCTTGTCCTCAAGGTGAAATTCAGGAAACTGCTGTTGGATGATATCGAAAAGCTCCCAAGAAGCCTCATAATCAGGCAAGTGACGCCATTGCAGCAAGACTTCCAACTGCCCAGTCACCGTAGAAAAATGAGTAGCCAACAACCTCTCCGGTTCCACGCGTACTCCATGTCAGCAATTAAAATAAGCTGAACCTCCTGGGCAGGAACATAAAGGCCAATGGCTTTCTTAAGCTGTGAAACATGGAAAACCGGATGAATTTTGGCAGCCGCGGGTAGTTGCAACCGATACGCCGCCCAAGGAGATAATGCCGCCATTTCTGAATAGCAAGCACCATGGCCATCAACTCACGCTTGTAAACGGACTTAGCCCTAGCCTGAGGAGACAAGACTTGGCTAAAATAAGCTATAGGCCGCTGTTGTTGCATCAAAATAGCGCCAACCCCAAAACCAGAAGCATCGGATTCAACAACAAACGATTGAGAAAAGTCCGGCAATGCGAGTACAAGCATTGTAGTCATGGCATGTTTCAACGTCCGAAAAGCAGATTCAGCCTCCTCCATCCAATTAAAACTGTCTTTCTTTAATTGTTGTGTCAATGGCCAAGAAAGATGACCATACCCCGTCACGAAACGCCGGTAATAACCGGTCAAACCCAGGAATCCGCATAACTCCTTAATAGAATGTGGAGTAGGCCAATCCAACATTGCTTGAATCTTGTTGGAGTCAGCTGAAACCCCATCCCGGGAAACAATGTGACCCAAATACTCCAACTGACTCTTCGTGAAAGTGCACTTTTTTTGATTAACATACAATTGGTTGTCTTCCAAAGCGGTCAAAAACCAAATCCAAGTGACCAACATGTTCTTCCAAGGATTTACTGTATATCAAGATGTCATAAAAAAAAACTAGCACAAATGTCCGCAAAAAAGGTTTTAGTACCTCATTCATCAGAGATTGGAATGTGGCTAGAGCATTAGTTAGCCCGAAAGGCATAACCAAAAATTCGTAATGGCCCTCATGAGTACGGAAAACGGTCTTAGGAATATCCTCCGCGCACATCCGGATTTGGTGATAACCCGATTTCAAATCGAATTTGGTAAAAATAGTAGCCCCAAACAATTCATCCAATAGCTCCTCGATCACCGGTATGGGAAACTTATCCGGAACGGTAGCCTTGTTGAGAGCACGATAATCAACGCAAAAGCGTCAACTGTCATCTTTTTTCTTGACCAAAAGCACAGGGCTAGAAAACGGGCTATTGCTTGGTTGTATGAGTCCAGCCGCTAGCATCTCTTGCACCAACTTTTCAATCTCATTTTTCTGAAAATGAGGATACTTGTAGGGCCTAACACTAATAGGAGCGGTGTCCGGTTGAAGAGTAATGCGATGATCACGCAAATGTTGAGGGGGAAGTCCATCTGGCATATTCAAAACCCTTGGATGATGCTGCAATAAGACACTGATCTGGGCAGGTAGTGGCCGGTCCGACTCCTTGTTCACATCCAGGGCTTGTAATTCCAAGTAAATCCCTTGTCCCTCATGCTTAATAGTCCGGAACATTGCTTTGAGAGAAACCATAGTAGTAGAGAGACTCGTATCGCCACGCAACGTAACCACTTCCTCTCGAATCCTGAACTTCATCAATTGGGACTTCCAATACACAACCATTGCATGCCTAGAATCACATCAACTCCTCCTAACTCCAATGGCAAGAAGTTTTCCACTATCGTTAATTGAGGTAAACTCAATGCCACCTCTTGACAAAGGCCCTTCCCCTTAACTGACTCTCCCGTGCCCACTTGTACTCCAAACCCGGCAGTGGGAAAAATTGGTATTGATAATTTCTCAACCAAACTTAAAGAAATAAAGTTGTGAGTTGCTCCGGAATCGATTAGAACAATTACCTCATTTTGAGCAATCAATCTGCGAAGCTTCATAGTCTTTGGTGTTGAAAGCCCAACCACGGAATTCAAGGACAACTCAATAAGCTCGGGCTGCCCCTCCTCCCAAACGGTCTTTGGCATGTCAGAATCTTCCACTTCACATTCCGTTGCATCGTCATCGCTAACCAACATGAGTCGGAGCTCCTTCCTCTTACAACGATGCCCAAAAGTAAACTTCTCATCGCACCTAAAACACAACCCTTTGTCCTTCTTCTCCTATAACTCAGAGTCTGACAACTTACGAAAAGGAAAGTCTCGCTTTTGGTTTACTGTTTTATCCAAAATGGCTGGAACTCGCTGTGGACACTAAACTCCCGTCATTGTCCTAGCAGGAAATGTAGTGAATTCAGCCCTTGGTCCACTAAAAGATTGTGGTCTTGTCATTCTCGCTTCCGAGACCTCCCGACGCAGCAACTCATTTTTCTCTTCGATCCTCTAGGCAATCTCCATAATTTAACTTAAACCCTCTGGTTTCAAGAGTCGCAATTCAGCCCGAACTTCCGCCTTTAACCCATTAACGAAATCCCTTCCAAAATTTCCTCCGGAACATCTTGGAGCAGAGCTGCAAACACCTCGAACTGCCTCTGATATTCCGCCACTGTTCCTTCTTGTCAGATCACTAAAAACTTCTCATAAAGGTTCCCTTAAGAGCGGAAACGCTGTAAAAGTGACAACTTGAAGTCTATCCAACCGTGAAAAGGTCGACGACCATTCTGCCATTGGAACCAAGATAAGGCGTCTCCCTCTAAAGCCACGCCAACAGTGATCAGCTTCTCCCTTTCCGAGCAGCGGTTGATGGAAAAGAACTGCTCCATTCAAAACACCGAGCCGTCGGGATCATCGCCGCTAAACAAAGGACACTCCACCTGCCGCCTGCGGTGAGAAGCCCACTCCTCATTCTCCGGCAACTCCCCAAGTACGCCTCTACTATCCCAGCCCTCCTTGAACTGTACTCCTCGAAATCCATCCACACCCAGACCACAATGACGATCGCGGAATCCAAGATTCTCAGACTCCTCGAAAACGCCATGCCCCTCTCCACGTCGTCCAGTCACGCTTTCCCCTTGACCACCCATCAGACCCTCTCTTTGGGTGTCGCGCACTTCTTCCCACCCTTCACGACGAAAAATTCGCGAATTCCTGGGATCCACCGGCCGATCTCCTCCCCGAGCACGCAACCCAGAAGATTCCGCCTGTAATGGCCCGTTCTGCAAAACCCTAGCATCCGACACTCGTTCCTCGTTCTGTGCGCGCAACCCAACGACTTCCGTCATACGCGACCCTAGTCGGAACTGCCTCGCGATCTTCCTCCACAACGGACATCGATGCCCCTGTCTTCTCGGGCGCTTTCGCCGGCGCAGCAAACAATTTCATCTGATCCTCCATTAACCGATGGAGCTCCGTAAAATTCTGGGTTAATTCTGCCCTAACCTTCCCGATCCCTTTCTCCATCTCTCCGATTCCTTTTTCCACCGAAACCCTAACTTCTTTAATCTCCTTCTCCACAGATTCAAACCGTTCTTTTGTTTTCCTACCCGCCATTATCGCCCAGAATTATTGCTCTGATACCAAAATGATAAGAACAGAGTATTTTCTTCAACAAGAATGAATCAAGAAGAGTAAAATGTAATCTTTATTGAATATCATAAAAGAATTACAACAGCAATCGACCTAGGAACTGCAATACCTCCCTTGCTCAGCCTCAGCCAAGACTTCCTGTACAAGACTCCAGTAATTTCCTACCTCTCTATTTCCAGCTTATTCCCTATTTATTCTAACCCAATAATCCCCTGTACAACCCCCCATCTTAGCCGACTATACAACTCTCAGCTTCCTAACTACTAACCAACTACCCACTAACTCAGCCCTGCAACCTCTTATTCCCTCTTGCCTTTCCTAACATAAGCCCTATACAACTCTCAGCTTCCTAACTACTAACCAACTAACCACTAACTCAGCCCTACAACCTCTTATTCCCTCTTGCCTTTCCTAACATAAACCTGCTTCAGAAAAGGCTTATCATGCACCTAACCGAAAGAATGTTAAAATCAGTCGAGCCTTATATATAGCATGCTTTGTAAAGAAGTATGGAGCTTTTTGGAGTTTGTTGATTTGTGGTATCTTATTGATGCAGGCATCTAACCAAGGAAGGGTTGTTGAACCAAATATTACAAAGTACTCGGTGAAGGTTATTCCTGTAAGTATTAAAGCTTTATAATTATCAGTTCTCTTTCATTTTCTTTTACCTTTCACGGTTATACATCATTATAGGTTAGATATAATTAGACCCCTTTCATCTTCATAGAGACTTTCTTGCTTGTTTGGTACCTTGGAAGCATCTTCTTACCTCTTTTAAGATAGGGCCAGTTTGTCAGAGCTTTCTGGAATCTGCGTTTGGCTTCCTAGGTCCAAAAATTGCTTCAAGACGTGTTTGGATGATTTGTCAGCATAACTTCTAGCCAAAACCACAAAATGTGGCTTTTCAAAAAAGTTCTTTTGAAGTAGATTTTGAAACTTGTACTACAGTTTCAATAAGACATTATAAACTTTACTATAACATTTTTATTGCTTATTAAAAAATTTAAAAACCATTTTGACCCATTGCGTCTCTTTTTAAAAATATGGTTCCAAACACTTATTGAAAAGCCATAGGGTGTGATTGGAATTGGTTTTTGATTGTTTTTTAAAACATTTCTGCATGTCTTTTATGGCATGAAAATGAAAACAGTCTGCAAACCACGTTTGTTTAGCAAATGTTTTGAAAACGAAAACGAAAACAAAAAATAGTGTGAGAATGGTTTTTGTGAAGGAATTAGAAAACTTGTTTTCCCTTTTCTGTTATCATTTTCTAGCACTTATAAATAATGTTATAATTTATGAATTAATAATTATAACCAAACACGATTTTACTTTTTTATTATATGCAAAACAATCTTTTAAAAACCTAATCAAACGCAATTTCAGAATTGGTTTCAGAATGATCCTAAAAACAATCTTATTTTTACTTTTATACTGAAAACAAAATCATTTTGAAAATATTACCAAACGGGCCCATAGCTTTTCCTTCTCTTTCTCTACTGACCAAAGTTACAAGTAAAAGCTCTGCTAAACGGGGCCATATTTTGATATGACATTTTCTGTCTCTATGCACAGTTCAACTATGATGTTAGTGCCTATGGATTTAGAGAGTTTTTCAAGCGCCATGGAATAAGGTCATCAGATCCGAAGTAAAAAGATTTTTTTTTAATTTTTTTATTGAGGAATTCAATTCAGCTTATTTGCTGTCTCAAGGGTTGATCACCTTGTAACTTTCTATAAATGTGAAAAAACCTTGGTTTTACATGTACTGGCTTCCTATCTAGGACAAACAGGATCAATTATTAAACATAGTTTTGTTTTGTTTGGGATGATGTGGTTCCTTTTAACAAGATTTATTGTTTAGTGATTTATGTATCTATCTCATTTGTTATATTTTTCTTGAATATATGAATGTCAAATTTGATCAATGGAAATCAATAAAATACATGCATGTATTGACAGGTTGATGTTTTTCTATTTTCTTTCTATTTTCAATAACCTGCCAATTAGATTGATCTGCCTGGACTTGGCATTGTACGCTACAATGCTAGAGCATTCATATTACAAAACAAAGTTATCCCATGGTACAGTATAGGAAAATTTATTTTTCTTGACTTTATCAATATCAGTGTCATTTTTTTAACAGAACTCAGGAGATGTTTGGTTCATGGATTATAATCATAAAATTAAAATAATTTTTGATTTACGTATATTTTTTGTAAGAGAAAATATTGTAACGAACTATGAATCATGATTCGAATCGGGCTATGAATCCTCCAACTAAACAACCCTTTAATTATAGTAATACTCTCTCGACTTTTAAATTTTTAAAAAATAAGCCTTCTAAAATGAAAGAAATAGTTTGAGCCACTTAAATATCCATGAAATTAAGACGTCATCCCAAACATCATACAACCATATTCTTGGAGTGAATTCGATCTCTACCAAATGTCTTTATTTTATTTATTTATCGAGGAGAAAAGAGACAAATACATGGGTCTAGAGTTTTATTTATAATAGTTAAAAATGTATTAATTTAAAGTAAGAAGTAAAATTTTAAACCCGTGTGAATTCAATAATTTTCTCATTTATGTATTACTCTACTCTCTAATAGTCACTTTCTAAAGCCCTTATATTGCATTTCTTCCTTCTTTTTTTTCGTTTTGTTTTGGCTTTTTTTGTTTGTTTGTTTTCGATTTCTTATTGCCAGCAATTTGGTCTCTCATTTGTCCACGTTTTGTCTTGGTTATTATTATTATTATTTTTATATATTCTTTTAATTCCGTGCTTTGTCTTCTTGATTTTGTAATCAAGTGTATAACTTTTGCAAGACGTCACATACAACTACAAAGCCTTCAGATGCACCCACCAAAGTAAAGCAAAGAATTACGTGTCTCGTTCATTTTGCGGATTCAAATTTTCAATTCGAGTTGAAATGTGATATTTTATGAAAACGTTTCACTGTAGCAAAAAAAGTTAGATGTGACATTTTCTGAGAGTTTTTTACTATAAAAACTTAAAACTGAAAACTCGAATCGGTGAAATGAACGAGGTAAAAATATGGGATAAAATGAGAAGTTTTTATTCTCTTGTGAAACATCACTATACCGTACAAAACAAGTTTTCCGCTCTCCAGTACTCGTCTAAAATCGCTTACTCATACCAAAACGTATGGAAAAGATCAAAACACCCCTTCAGTAAATAAAAAAAAAGGAAAAAAAAGATAAATACATCTTAAAATGCATGAGTTTAGATTTTTACTGTTTAATCTTAATTAATATCTTCTTTAATCAAATAATTATATTAGTTAAAAGAGTATTAATTAATAGTGAAAGGTAAAAGTCTAAATTTATGCACTATAAAAATAAATTTAGTAATTTTCTCATAAAAAATCGACAAAAAGTAGATTTCATCTACCAACCCAACTTTTGTAAACTCAGGGCTTCAAGCTGTGATCGCCTAAACCATCTTTATGTCTGGTCTTGATGGTCTGGCCTATAAAACTAAATATGAGGATCATATTGTCACATGGCTCAAAATAAGATGTGCACGAGGCTACTAAAAGATTCATTCATGAGGTACTTGTTGGAGTTAGATTAGGTACCTGATCAATCTCAACTTTACACGTGTCAACGAGTTAGAAAGATCCATAGGTTAGCTCGGATTGAGCTCATACGTTCCTTATTTGTGTCCTCCAAATAAAATCATGTCATGTCAATTAAAATATTTTTAACTCCTATGACTTTTTAATTAACGTTATATAAAACTTTTACTTACCTATATTTTTAATTGATGTGACGTAATTAAAGGGACATGAAAGGGGGCAAGAAAAAATGACGAAAGAGTCGATTCTGGGTTAGCCCATGATCAAACCTTTTTTGACTAGAAGAGTCGACTCCTCATGTTAATTGACCTCCCAAAATTCAAGTAAATCGGACTCTTGGGGATTGACTACAATTAGTCTAGGAGTCGGTATCGACCCACACCGCAACGAGCATATCAAGTAGTACTTACGAGAAATATTTCTAAATACTTTCAGGAAACATGCTAATCCGAGAATAAGAGAGTAGATTATTTAGTTCCCTAATTCGAGTTGGGATGTGATTTTATGTGAGAATTTTTTACTGTAACAAAAAAATTAGATGTGATTGTTTATGAGAGCTTTTTATTGTAGCAAAACTCGAATTCTAAACTCGAATCGGTGAAATGAATGGGGCCTTAAACATTTCAAATTTGATGGATATGAATTTTACAAGGAAAGTTAATTTTATTTAAGATACATCTTTTTGTATTTAACCCTAACTCGTCCTCTTCATCCCCATGCATGCTTATGATATAATCTTACATTCTTCATGCATTCCCATAACATTTTCTCTCTATTCTTAGCTCCTTACTATCTTATTCATTTTGTTTCATTTACTAACATGAGCGCAGGGGCGTTCATAAGAAGGCGTTCTAACTTCTTATAATAAGGGGCCTTAGATCACATACTCTTAAGTGATGCCAGACTAGTATTTGATCCGACAATTGGAATAAATTAATTAAGTATGTAAAAAAAAAAATAAATGACAATTAATGAAATTGGATTCTTATCATGTTTACATTATTAAGTTTCTATATTTAATCTATGAACATTAGTAAAAACGTAAACATCAAAAACTCATATATATATATATATATATATTGTGTAGTTGTGACGTTTCTGTCAGGCCACTACCACACTAGTTCTTCAGGGTAAAAAATAAATTATTTGCCGGGCCATTTAAACTACCTGCCAGTTGAAGTATGGAAGGAAATCAAATCTTTTGATGATACAATTATTATGCCACAATACAGGGAGGATTAATTTTTACCCTTTTTTATTTTTATTTTTATTTTTGGGTCGTGTGATAACAACACTAAAAGAGGTACTGATCGAAGGACATTTGTTAAAAACACAGATACAAGTAAACATGTCAATTTATTCAACAAAAGAAGTAAACATGTCAATTTATTCAGCAAAAAAAGTAAACATGTCAATTGAAAAAGCAATATATATTATAGTATGTATATATTATATGTATATATGTCTATATCCTATACAAATGGGACTACTTAAACATTAAGAAAATGAAAAAACACAGACACAAGTAAACATATGTCAATTGAAAAAGCCGGATCGACATTTATTATGTCTCTTCTAGATCTAGATTATAGATATCGAAAAAGATGTAGAATTGAAATATTTTTGATTTATATTGAATAGAAAAAAAAAAAAGAAAAAAGAATAGAAGTAGCTAGCACATTGTTCCCCAGACTAAAAAAAAAAAATTTAAAAATGAAATTTATTGCAAAAAATTAAAAAACAAAAGCCATGGAGAGAAGAAAGCTAAAATTTATTGCAAGTATTTAGGTGGGTGTATTTATTTCTCTTACCCATGAAGGAGAAAAAAAAAAAAAAAAAAAAAAAAAACATAAGAAGAAAGCTAAAATTTATTGCAAGTATTTAGGTGGGTGTATTTATTTCTCTTACCCATGAAATGATTCACTCAACAGTCAACAGCCAACTAAATGTTTGGTGGGAAAATGAATATGAATATCTATGGAAGATCCGGTCCTTATTTATTTATTAAATTTTTTTCCGGAATAACATAGAAGATTTGTTATTTCTCGACGACAAGTAACGACTTTGCCGGGCAACTTCTATTATATATGGAGAATACTTGCATTAAAATCAAATAACATTTTACATTAAAATAAATAAATAAATATTAATTTATTTTTTCCTTTCCTTTCTTGATATTCTGGCTATCATTTGATTCATTTTCTTTCCGCCCAATTTCTTTCCTTACACATTTATTTAACTAATTTTATCAAAACCTTTTTTTTTTTATTTGTATTGTGCTTAAGATTGTTATAACAAACTAACTAAGAAGATATTGACGAATGTAAATCATTTTTGTTTATAAAAATATTCTTGTTTCAAGCAGAAAATAATGATAGTGTAATATTATTGAGTAGAATGAAAAAATTTACATAGCTTTTGATTTTTGATCATGAGGACTTTACCGGATAGTTATAATGTGCCAACAAATATTGTATAGGAATTTATTAAGCTTTTTTTTTTTCCCCTCATATATAAAATCATTACTTTAATTTAATATAAAATATTTGATCTTTGACTTTACTTGTGCCCACCAAAATAACATGCTGGATTTATCCGTGTGTGTACACAACACACGTTGCATGGCAATATTCAAGGATGCTTTAGACTATAGTAGCATCTATTATCCTTGATCAAGATATTATTCCTTTTATGTTGGATGTCAATTTTATGCCACGTGGCAATGTGCCAGCTTAAAAGATTGGTCATATTATATGGTGCCAGTTTACCTACTAGCTTAGCTTCACATGCAGCCTCTTAATAGTGTAAATGAGTAATTTTTATGATGATTTGTAAGTTATAAAAGTTAGGTTTAATTATCTCCCTTTTCCTCCCTTAAAATTGTCCGGTGGGAGTTGTTAAAGTATAAAACTATTATTAGCCCACCTCTAACAGTTTAAGTTTTTTGGATGGATTGGTAAACTAACATGGTATCAGAGCGGGAGGTCCTGAGTTCAAACCCCCGTAATTACACTCTTTATCCCCATTTAAAATTGTACTCTTTATCCCCATTTAAAATTGTACTCTTTATCCCCATTTAAAATTGTCATCATGTGTTGGGTATTTAATATATCTCGGGCTTAAATATTCAAGTGTCGGGCTTTCCAATTAATTTACCCACACGATTGCTCATTGTCCAGCCCACATGTGAGAGAGAGTGTTAAAGTATAAAACTATTGTTGGCCCACCTCCTAACAGCTTAAGCTTTTGAGATGGATTGATAAACTAACAGGAGGGGCGGTGCCCTCAAACATCTTTGCGAATGGTGGGGTAGGACGGGGTAAGGCGGGTAGTCGTCCAAAGATCATGAGGTGGCAATGGGGTGTTATTTTATTTTATTTTATTTATTTTTTTTCATTTTACGGATATCATGGTCATTTCACTAGTAAAAAATTTACCGTTGACCGAAGCGGGATATACATTTACCTATTAATGCATCTGAAGATACACAATTGAAGTGATTAAAAACTAATGGTATACTTTCTTGAATAACTCTAAAACACAAGATATAAAAATATAAACAACGATAGAATGTTATCCGTCTAGAGAATCCTTACTAGGAAAATTCTCCAAATTACTGTACAACTTTGACAAAATTTAATAAAGAAAGTCACTATCAACACCCCATGACACACACGTATCGAAGACTAGAACTCTCTTCATCTTATTTGCATTCATTAGATAACAATAAATACGTACCACAACTCTACTTTGCATGTGGATATATATACCAATCACTTCTCAACTCATTGAATTCTATTAAACACACACAAAAAAAAAAAGCCCCCATCAAATACAGCCTAAGTAATTTGCCTTTTCTTCTATATTGCCCTACAAATATTAATAATTTCCATCAGTATCAGCTTTTTCCAGTTTCAGGCTTCATCTCCAAACTGATCAGAAAGCAGTTTCAGTCTAACATTTAAGCCTTGTCTGATCTCTTCTCTTTGCTTCAAAACTGGCGCGTTTATATCTCTTCTCTCTCTCTCTCTCTCTCTCTCTCTCTCTCTCTTAATTTCTCTCTCCCATGCAGGACTCTAATTAATTAGTGGCTCTGTAAATTTGTTTCTTCTATCTCGTTTTTGTCTTGCAAGTTTCTGTTTCATGGCAAATCAATTTCTTTTTGGCTTTTTTTATTTGTTCTCTGTGTTTCCAGCTCTCACGATATCTTTCTTTCTTTCTTTCTTTCTTTCTTTTTGGAAAAGAAACGACATCTCTTGGATATGATCAGTTATATACATATATATATATATATATATCAACTATATTGTCCATGTGTACATATTAGTATATATATGCTTTCTTATCAATATATATATATGTATCTAGTGGATATATTATATAGTCTTGCATATATTTGTTCTCTGTTTATTTTTGGCCGAAGAAATCTATCTTGGAAGTAATGATTTTCCGGCAAACAAAAATAATACAAGCAATAATGTCATTTTCGATTACTTATTTTGAAGTTGATTTTTGATTTTTTTTTTTCAAAAAGGAATTTTGAGTAGAAGGATATATACCTTTGCTCTTAAGGCAAAGAATAATTTTTTTATTTTTTAAATTTTATTTTTTTATTTTTTTTAAACGCATCAACTACTTGAACTTGACAATTTTTTTGGGCCAACACCTATACTTTTTCCATTATTTTTTGGTTACATTTAGCCAGCTTAAATTTGCTTGCTGGCTACCTAGCACCTGTTGAATCATTTTTCTTTTGGTCACTGAGCAATTGAATCCTTTTATGTAATAACTAAATTCCTTCCTGAGTTGTACTAGATTTTGTATATTTTATTGAAGTTAATATCTTAGGCAATTTTTCTTTTCTTTTTGTTTTTTTTTTGTTTTTTTGTTTTTGTTTTTTTTTTTTTGTCAATTCAGTTCTTTCGACTTTTTTCAGACCCTAATTTTCCTTTCATATATGTATTCAATTATATTGTTGTAATGGCAATAAATTCATTGTCAGATTTTCATAACATTTCATCAAATAATATATATATATATATATATATATATTATCCGATGCATTTTTAAAGCCTAGGTCTTCTCTACCACATAAACCCATATTGTGAGGTTAAATCATAGAAGTATATTTCAACTTTCCAACTGCAAAGAAACTTATGACATTTATTATTCATAAAGTGCTTTGATATAGAACACATGAATATAACGATATATTACAGCATAATATATTATATTTTAGATTATAAAGTGCACACAAATAGAATACAATTGATTTCTGTGCAGGTGGGGATGGAGGAGAAAAAGATAGTTCTCACGAAGCCATACTTTTCGTTAGATGGAGACTCATGCGGTGATCACAAGGCTCCCAATCTGATCCAACGGGTCCTTAGTCTCTTTAAAAATGTACGGCCAGGATCAGATCTCACTAAAATGCAGGCAAGTTATTATTTTGCCCCTCCTTATAAACTTCAATTTTAGTCCCCGGAATACTTGTGATCTTATTTTACACCTTAAATTTTCAAATGTCACACTAATATGCCCTCAAGTTTTGCAAATATTGCACATTCGGTTCCTCTATCATAAAACCATTAAAAATGTATGGAGGCCGGGCGGGGCCAGTAGTGTGACATTTCAAAGCTATAGGGCAAAGTGACATATCGAGTATTACTCAAAGGTCAAAATTGAAATTAATTCTTAATTAATTTTATCAAATTATTCTCACTAAAGTGTCAAGTGCACTTCACATGTTAACTCCGTGTATTTTTTCACGGTTTTGTGATGGAGGGACCGAAAATGTAGCACCGGTAAAGCCCGAGGGCAATTAGTATGACATTTAAATATTTCAGAGACAAAACGAAACAACGAGTATTCCTGGGGATAAAATTGAAATTAACCCCAAATTTTATTTTGTTGTGTTTTTACTTTCTCCAGCTGGGTCACACTTACTTGTAGTTTTGCATATAGGGGTTGTTACTATTTGAAAACAAAACGGAGGATAGAAAAATAAGTTCATAATCTTAAGTAATTTTAATTTTACTACCTAGCAATAATGGACCACCATGACATGTCTTATGGTTATAGTTTCAAGTACTGCTGGGTCTGCCCTCTATGAAAGTCTTAAGTATAAAGATCGGTGCATGCCAAACACATTATTCTTTTGCCCTTTTTGAGTTAGGTGACTTGAGTGTAAATTTTGAATTGAGTTTGAGTTATAACTTTAGTTGAAGTTGTAACTTGAGTTTGTGTTTGGTTGTGTACATTTGAGTTATGGTTTGAGATAAGAATCTTTTTGAGTTTGTGTTTGAGTGAGTCAAAATTTGAATTTATATTTAGATAGTATTTTAATAAAAACTTAATGCTGATGGAAAATTTTAATAGGGTATATAGGTGTGGTTTTATTCGTCTTTTCATTGTCAACGCGTAGAAAAAAAATCACCTCAATCAGAATTAAAACGAAAAAGTTATAGCATTTTTAAGAATAGAAAAAATACTGTTTATTAATTTGAGTTTGAGTTTCTGAACTCGAGTTAAAAGGGGAAACAAGTTGAGTTTTAGTCACAAACTCGAGTTCAAACTCGAATTCAAACTTAAAAGAACATAAACTTAAATAAAGTTATAACTCGATTTACTTTTTTGAGTTTTTAACTCAAAAATGGAGCCGCCGAACACCCCTATTTTCTCTACTTTTTCTTTAGTCAAGAAAGATAAAGGTACTTTTAATATTCGAAATTAAGAAAATTTTGGAACAAATAAAGACAAACAAGACCGGATCATTCATAGTGTCTACCAACTCTTCACTTGAATGACAACCACCAATAATATATATATATATATATGTTACACTAGAAACCTATTTCGAAAAAAAAATTCAGCAATGGGGAAAATTTTGGAAATTAAGGAAAAAAAGATCACATATTCTTTTAGTACAATGGAATTCTAAATATTAATGACTAACAATTCTATATATAATTTTTCTTTGATTTTGATATTGATCCTTTTTTGGAACCGAAATTCATCTTTCATTTTATTGATCCTTTTTGGTCTTCTTCTTCTTTTTTTTTTTTTTTTTTTTTTTTTTCTTTTTTGTTTTTTTTTTTTTTTTTTTTTTTTTTTTTTTTTTTTTTTTTTTTTTTTTTCAGTTGCCAGCCCATTTCAATGCTACAAAGTCATTTCTGCAGTATTTTGGTGAGTCAATATATTGCGTTGGAAGTGATATGTTGGGGAAATGCAACAGTGGGGAGAGCCCATTGGAGAGGTTCATAGCCGTAGTGGCATGGAGTATTTCAACTATGCGCCCTATGATATTTGGATTTGCTCCTTACAATTCCATTCTTGGTGAGACCCATCATGTGTCAAGAGGATCCCTCAACGTTCTTCTTGAGCAGGTACTTTTTACATATATATATATATATATATATATCTCTCTCTCTCTCTACATATCACTCTCTCTTTCTCTCTCTTACTTTTTACATATCTCTCTCTCTCTCAAGTCGACCTACGTTGGTTTTGTTTTGACATTTAACACTTTTTTGATAGCGTTGTGTATTTAAATTTAGTATCTCCTGCTCTCGTGATATGTTTCATTCATCGACCTACGTTGGTTTTGTTTTGACATTTAACACTCTTTTGATGGAGT